ACTAACTTTAGCATTGTATGCTATCACATAATCTATGTAAATGACTGATTGTCTTATTCCTTTTAGAACTATATTTTTGTGTCCACAGATTCTCCCTTTTTCTTTCTCTTTCTGTTACATTAGACACTCTTCATTAGGTCAACACACACACACACAAACTTTGTTACCACATTCCAATGTTACCTGCATTAATTAGGACCTGGCCTGTTCAGGTTTTTGTCTGTCACAGCCCATCTGATATACTTTACTGTGAACTAATAAATGTAATTTTATACTTTTGATCCACTTTGGTTTATTCTCAGGTCTCCAACTAAAGAATCGGGCTAACAATACTGAGACAGAATGTGTTAAACCAGGTCTGTGTTGTGGTTTGAAGTTTTGGATTTAGCACAGATAAATCCAAAACATACAAGCTGCTCATCAGACCTGATGAGCAGCTTGTATCCGGCTCCTGTTTACAGCCAAGTCCTGCACAGACTCTTCTGCCCAGAGGAAGCACAGCGCGCCCCTTTGGAATGTGCCCACACAGAAGCCGGGAAAATAAAACACTTTTACCAAAGTCCACTGGCCTGGTTTTTCACAATCTGTAAAAGTAAAGTAAAGGTTACGTAACTTTTCCAAACTCATGTGGAGTTTCGATGTGAAATGTGTCAGAAAGGGAGTGAGGGCCCCAGGAGAAGGAAGTCAAAAAGGGAACTGATGCATCATCATCAGTTTTTTACTGTAACTTATGTCAGATGGGTAGCTTTTAATGCCAACATGCAGGTTACTCATCTATATCGTGTGACTTTTTTAATAAGAGGTGCTCAGCTTATATGGATGAAAGTTTACAAATTGCTTGTAAGTTGAAGAGGTTCTCTAAATAGTTTATTGTGAGGAGGGAATTTATGAATAAATATGAACTATTCAGAAAACAGTCAATTCGTCACAAAGAGGGGGAGAGAGACAGAAAGCTATAAAAGAAGTAGAAAAGGTTTCCACACAGTCTGTAGCTGCTCAGTTAGAGGATGTGTCTGGTGAGTGGGGTTTGGTGGGTGTACACTGTTTTTCTTGACTGCCCTTTTTTTCCAAGGATGAACAGATCAATGCCTGCAGAAGACAGACACTGGACCAGAAATACAGGAAAACACAATGTGCACTTTTGATTAAATAACATTTTTCTGTAAAACTGTCACAAAACTGTATAATGACAGAAGACTAAACAGCTCATTTATTTTATTTAATTATTTTTAAGTTAAAAATGTATAGAAAGTAGCTGTAAAGACTCATTGATTCATTTCTGTTGCTTTTATCGTTGTTAAAACATGAATAACACGATATCTAAACAATGTTTTAGGAGCATCATGGCCACTTGCTGATTCCTAAAAGAGCTTATTGTTCACTCATTCACATTTAAAATAGCATCCCTTTGTAAATTTCACTAATGACGGATTTGCTATTGTTTCTAGCCAAAATTGGCTGTTTGGTTGGTTTTATTTGTCAAGTTTTTTTATATTGTTTATTTTGTTTTAAAGCTGCGAGGGTTGGCATCATCTCGCGATAAGAAACGTTATCCCAGCTGTTGGGTCTAACTATTTTCAACGGTTAATATTTCAAAACAAGGTTTAGTGTACCACGTGACGAAAAGGGGGGCTACTTCTGGTAAATGATGATTAAAAAAACTAGTTGAAAAGTAACAGTAACAAAAAGCTGGCTGACTTAAAAAGCCTTACACAGTAAACCGGGACAACTGTGAGTAAATGGGTGGGTTTCCTTAACTTTACCGGTAATGATAACCATGGCAACGTAAATGAGGCGTGGTACTTAGAAATATGGTGATGTCAAATGTATGCAGGCATGAAAGGACTTACAGATGTTTTACACTGACAATACCCAAATACGGAAAGAATAATGCCATTTAAAGAAGGATTTGTCCTCCTTTAGACCCAAATGAGATCAACATTTTTGAAGAATTTTACCGGACGACCCCTAGTTTGGTTTAAAGGCCTTTGGTCGTTTGAATGTTCACCAAACAAACG